GTCATATATTATATGATTCTATTTCAGGAACATGTCCAGAATAAGCAAAGTTATAGAGATAGACAGTAGATTAGGGTTGCTTAGGGCTAGAGGGAAGGACACAGGAGAGAAATGGGGATTGATTACTAATGGGTATAGAGTTACTTTTAAGGAATATGAAAATATGCTAAAATTAAATTATGGTTGCACAATTCTGTGAATATGCTAAAGAAAAAACAATGAATTGTACACTTTAAATGGGTGAATTGTATGACATTAATTATATTTTAATAAATTCAAAGCTATTTTTAACAAATAGAACACAAACAAAAACAGAATTAGGTATTGGCTGCTTCCCTAGTGACAAAATAATTGTATTTTCAGAATTCAGGTCCAGAAAAAGGAAGCAACTTGCTCAATGCCCCACATTGAACCAGTAGCTAAGCAGGATCCCTAAGATTTCTGCTTCAAAGAGGTTCCCTAGGCCCTGGTGCCACTGGCAAATTTCTTAAACCTTTAGAGTATAATTTTTTTTTGGCGGTACCTTTTTCCCTCAGTGACTGTAACATTACTGATGCACTTGTCCAGAAATATTTCCATCAGTTGATATAAACTGAGGACACTATATCTTAAACGGTAGGCAACTTCAATCTATAGAAGTCTATTTTCCTAGACAATAGCAAGCTTCTAAAGGATTCCAATAGCTGGGCAAGATCTAAGTTCCCTGAAAAGAATATTAGGTAGAAACTAGCGGGGTCTTTAGGCAAGAGAAAGTTATATAAATAGGTGATGGTTTGTGTGTATATAGAACTGAGAACTCAAAATCCAAATTTCCCAGTCCTTAATTATGCCTCATAGTCTGAGCAGGAGACAGAAACCAGAGAACAGAGGGTCAACTCTTGGCTTTTTGCTCTTAAAATTAATGCCTTTTCCCATTAGGGAACATCCATTTCCTTCAAGAGCCACCCTTAAGCCCGCAAAAGGCTTAGAGCTACCAGAAAAGAAAAAAAGAGCCTCATCTCAACTGCAATATTTCCAGGATCTTCAAGCAAGTTATTTTAAAATCAGAAGGGAGAAAATGTATCAGACACCAGTAGTTTTCTCATTTGCACAATGAAGAAAGTGAACACCACTTTCCTGAGAAAACTGAGTGGAAATGTGGTAGAAGCCCAAGTAAGAAAGTGTAGCAAAGATCTGTGTGGCCTTGCGTGTGTGTGTGTGTGTGTGTGTGTGTGTGTGTGTGTGTGTGTGTGTGTTTGTACATGCACACTGGTAGTACGGGTGGACAGTGGTCAGTCACAGCTAAAGCTGGACCCAAGAGCATTTAAAAAGGTTTTCTAGAACAGAAAATAGATAATAGAGAATTTCCTTAGGCTTGAAGAGGAGGCATACAACACATAGAAAAATAAAGGTATACCTTTGTTCTCACTACTGCACTCCGGACTTAAAAAGAAATGTAATAATAACAGAAAATTCAAGCCCTGTTTTGTTCTATGGTAGTTCTTTTATCTGTAATAAATATGCAATTTTTAAGCTCCTGTTGCCCTTGTTTTCTTTTACTTCTACTTGAGTTACTTTTATTTATTTTTCTTTTCATAAAATAAAAATATGTTTTCCAAGAGAGCACTGGCAAGCCCTGAGATAGAGTAAATTAGCCAGTAACCATTTCCTTGCCATCCTTTCAACTACTACAAACTAGCTGGAGTGTGAGAAGGAAAAAAGGTGAGAGAGGAGATGATAGTATGTTGAACTCCATGTTTTATTCATCTTTCCAGAGAGCTTTAGATATTAACAAATTGCCCTGTGCTATGCATCTGCGGGATAAAGAAGAGTAATCCAGCTGTGCCCTACTTTAAGAAATAATGACTTTAAAAAATCAAATTTATCAAAAATACAAATTGGAAAACATTTATAGAAGGGTTCGACATAGGTGGTATTTTAAAAAGAGAGCCCCCCTAGTGCATGTAAAACATGACTTCATTTATAAAACTTGAATCATTCTTCTATTAAAACCCTTATTTAAAAAATTCACATTTATAAAAACAGATATATTAGATGGTTAGTAGCTAAGTTCATAAAAAGATTTCTTTAAGTAGTATGCCACCTCCACATCCCACCTCCAAGTATTAAAAATATGATTTGATTTTCCAGCAAATGATTAAATGCAAATTCAGGGAAACACAGCTACTGTTAAAACTAAATACATCTATATTTGTTTCAGTGGGTAAATAGGAAAATTGAAGATCTGAGGAATTAAGTAGTCATTCTCAGATTAAGATTTATAATTAAGTTCTCCTATCTCCTATCTTAAAATATCTACCTGTCTGTAATACTAATACACAGACATAAACTATTCGTGCTATTGGTAAAAGCAGAGAAATATGACACTAAATAGTGGACAGTTTTAAAATTATTTCATCTTCGTTTTTGGCTATAATTTCTATTTGCTTTAGATGTGTACCCAAAATACTTCAATGCTCCAAAGATTAGCATTTGAAATCTAATTTTTCATGCACATAAATTGAAGTTGAGTGATCTTAAGCAGAATGTCTGTGAGAAGTAGACCCAGGAACAGAACCCCAACACCTGCTATAATCTGAGGGTAGTTCTCCATAAAATATTGTGAAATGCAACAAAGGGAAAGTCCTCTGATTTTGACTGATCAAAGAAAAATGAAGTAAAAGATTTTAGGGACAAGCTGCCATATACAGATGCTTTTCAAAAAAACAAATTATACTTTAAAATGGAATCCCAAAAAAGTATCCATATCTTCAGCATTCCTTTTACCAGCCTAGGGTTGATTATGCAAAGGACTAAAGATTAATTCATTAGCCAGCTTGCATTTTACTTTTGGAGGCAAAAAATGTAACAATAGACTTATTCTCTCTAGTTTACAAGGGTCCAACTACTGTGCAGCCCCCCTAGAAAATCATGGTTGAGTTGGTTTAGAAATTTGTGCAAGCGTCATCATCTTCCAAAACAAAGTTTAAAATACCAATTCAAGACAAGAAATGTATACTATAAATTCTGTGAAGGTAGATCATTAGAAGTCCAGAGTACTTGTGCTTTGTGGCAGTAGGGCTGAAAGTTTAACCAACAAGAAATTAATGGAACCAATTTAAAATTGAATATACAACCGGTATTCCAGATAATTCCAACATCGACAAAACACTGAGCTACATATAGGATTCTAATATTGACTAAGAACTTAATCTTATGAATGTATTCCTGTCTATTAACCAAATCTGACAAGGCCAGATAAAAGGGAAATATTCTTGACAAAATAGAAGCATGAAACTAAATAGCACAAGGAGATAAAATTGCTTCTAATAATCTACTTAAAGATTCTATTAAGTAATGCTGGTTCATTTTGAATCTTGATAATGGAGCTACCTAAGAGTTCCACATGAATATGAAGTGATTAAAAACAATGCTCTAGACAATGAGTATTACATCAGGTTATGCTTGTGGAAAATAGATAAGGGAACTTTTGGCAAAATCAAAACACTGGGACTGAATATACATATCAGATATTCTTTGAGAGGGAGGCTATGGTTGAATGGAGATTTAAAAAAACAAAATAGTGCTATGAATAGGGACAGCCATGCATGTAATTTTTGTCAAGACAAATTGGCTGATTAAAGCTGTTAGATATTGTGATGATACAAAAGGGGAGCTGGTGAGAAAATTCACTAAGCTCAAATGAATAATAAAACTGAAAATGAACAAAGATTATAACATCTCTTCAAAAAATGGAGCTAATAGCAATGCTCTTTGTGTCCATACACCTTTTGTCTAGCAGTAGTTCAGAGTATTTCACAGAATCACTGAATCATGACTTTTCTGGTTGAAAGTCACCAAAAAGATGATCTGGTCCAAACACACATCCAAGGCTTTTGTCTCCTCTACAAAATCTCTCTCGCATACAGTCACACAACCTATCTAAACTCTCCAGTAATCTCACTTCCTCCTGAGTGCACCATTTCAGAGTTCAGGATATTCATGTTTGTCATTTTCTTTACACTGGAGCAAATGGCAAAATTAGTCATCAGGCAGAGCTGTAACCTGGTAGAGCCAGAGAACAGGAAAGCAAGAGAAGATTACAAAGTTTTGTAAAGAAATAGGTAAGTGGTAAGGTAATAGGAACGTCTGATTTTGCAGACGTGAGAAAGGAATCTAAGACTGGGTGTGTGGTCCATGCCTGTAGTCCCAGCTGCTCTGGAGGCTGAGGCAGGAAGATGGTTTGAGCCCAGGAGTTGGAGGCTGCAGTGAGCTATGATCGTGCCACTGTCACTCTAGCCTAGGTGATAGAGTGAGCCCCTGTCTCTTAAAAAAGAAGAAGAAGAAGAAGAAGAAGAAGAAAGTTTGGACTCTAAGTCTGCTGGGGTTAGAGGATTGAGAAAACAAAGAAAGACCATGCTCACCTGGGTATCCTGCAAAGGCTCAGGAATTGTAAGACCTCTGAAAGTGGGCTACATACAGGCTGTGGTTACAAAACTGGGGTGGCTAAAATTCTGTCTACAGAACAGCCAGACCTCCAGAACCCTTCTCCCAAACAACTGTCCCACATGGCAGAAGATTCACATCTTCAGAATCATATTGACTGTCTATTATGTGTCAACCACTGTTCTGGGAACTGTGGCTACAGCAGTGAACAAAATACCAAAATAAATAAAATAATGCAGATGGAGATAGTGACAGGAGAAAAAATTAAGTAAGGGCAGAGGGCAGGAGGGCAAAGGAGAAGGAGGTCATTTTAAACATATGGGCAGAAAAGGCTTTCTCAAGGGTGACAGTGAAGAAGGACTCTGAGGCAGGTGAGGTGAATATCTGAGAAAAGTCTCAGGCCATGGGAAGAGCAAATGCAAAGGTGTGAAGAGCTGGAGTGTTGTCATCAGAAGGGACAGCAAGAGCAAAGTCCTTAACGAGACTTGGCTGGAGAGTAGTGAACATGGGATGGGGGAGAAGAGGATGAGGCAGAGGGGGAAGGCCAGAACCAGACCACATGGGGCCTCTCTGACCTTGAAGGAGTTTGGTTTTGCTCTGCTTGTCTTGAGAAACTACCAGCAGGCTTCGGAAGAGTCTGCTCTGGATCCCTCTCGTGAGCCCCTCAGCAGCTCATGCAGTAAATGTCTTCTTTAAGCTCCAGGACTTTCCACACTCTTGTCTCTCCAACTCGAGGATCCTTGTCTCAGGCCTTGGTGAGACCACATTCCTCTGTGCTCCAGCTGTAGAAAGAGTGCCCTGAGGTGTCCCAGGCAGGAAGCAGGCCACCCACTTGGCAGTCCTTCTGCCCCTCCTGTGATACATGTTCAGCATCTCCCAAAACATGCACATTTGCTCCTCCGTGTCTGATACCATGTGGGTTACCATGGCCTGATAATTTACAAATGAAAACTGGCCCAGAGCAGGAATCATCCCAATAGGGGGCAAAGAAAATCAATTTCATTTCTTCTTGAAGAAACACCTTGATGTGGGAGGCTGTGGTTGTAGCCACCATGGTGCCATTATGATGTACATGGAAGAATGACATCAGCCCACAGTCATCCTGCAGGTTTCTCCTAAGGCCAAAATTATGGGTCACTGGGGAAGCAGGTCAGTTCTGAGAGACCTGTGGGTTCTGAGCTTTAGTCCAGGTGATTCTGGTGATATCCTTCAGCACGGATTACCCAGCATACCTTCAGAATACTTCAGAATACTGCTGGGTATCATCAAAATTATCCTATTTCCTCAAGTATCCATTAACTCTAGAGAAAGAACCCAAAACTAGAGTACTTCCTACCAATTTGAGGATGGGTAGTCTGGCCACCTAATCTTTCTACCTCAGGGCAGACAGAGATTCTTAACCTAAGGTCCATGGAGGTCTGTGAACTTCATTGGCATATATAGATATAGATATCTTTATTTTAACTAACAACTAACTGAAATGTAGCATGTTATTTAATTATGAATAACCAAGAAACAATAGTGGAATTAATGGTACCTGTTACTTTGCCACTAACAGAAACTGCAGATATTTTCCTGTCGTATTACAATTGGGCCAGGTGACTCAAAATATGCTCATACTTCTTCAATATAATGGAAGTTATTAGACCCATCAGTAGACCTTGTTATTTAACAAGTTATTAAAAGCATATATATTGCCATATCACAAGTTTGTTTTTAATATGTTGATATCATATTTCAACATAATTATATAGATACCATGTATAGTACAAAACAATTGAGTTCCTTTATAGCTCTATTTGTTTTAATTTATACTTCATTTGCCCCTAAGATAAACAAATATACAAGGTACACAGGGGCACAGGGTACCAAAAAAAAAAAAAAAAGGAAGAAGAAAAAAGGAGAGAGAGAGACGTTTAGAGGCATTCTTCAGGGCTGATAGACTTTAGAGACTGTTTGCACAGTTTAGTATACAGCCCCACAGGAGAAAGAAGACCACTCAGGTTTTTACAATGATGATCATCTTAAAATCGCACTGATTAATTAATGTTGTGCTGTTACCAAGAACAAGACAGCCCTGCCAGAAAGCTGTGCTGCCACATATACAAAACAGCCTATTCCTGAGAGGGGTGTGGAAAAAACTTGAGCTCTGAGTGTCAGGGACACATTAGGGAACAGGCACCAATGAGCATATCCTGTCCCTGTCCCTTAACTTTGTTCCATCATTCATTTGCATCACTCATTAAATTAGAATGCTCCCCTCTGTTCCCTCAAATCCTGCTGTCATCGATAGCATTGCCCTCTAAATTTTCCTTCCCACTCCCCCATCCTGTCCCCATTTCTCAACTTTGATCTCCTGGGTTTCTTTCCTTGTACCTCTGGTATATTACTTATTCTCCCTGCCTCCCTGCTGGGTGATACATGTGACTTTAACAGCTTCAGATGTCCCCAAACCACACCAGCTGTCCCAGAACAGGTGCCATCAGAGTGCCCACAGGTGGAGGAGACAAAGCCCCTGTGCCAGGAACTCTCCAGTATGTCTGGCTCATAGCAACCACCTCGGGCCAGCAGCAAATATTTTCTGCGTTCAAATTTCCTCCCAACGTAGCTTTTGAATTCTGCTAACTGGAGAAGTTCATAAGCAGACAATGAAATCAGTACCCACAAAACAGAACTGGAACAGGCTGACTCTGCATGGATAAAATAGCACCTATTGACAGAAAAACATAGAATGCCTCCCTCATTGGCAGGGAGGAAAGAAGGATGGATACAAGGAGGGAAGGGAAACAGGAAGAAAGGAAGCTGCAGATTCCTTCTTATTAGAACAAAATCAAGATTATCTGAACAATGGAGAAACAAGATGGGCAACACCGGACAGGTGGCCAAGCTTTTCCACTCACTAGATGTGGGTTAGCTACAAGCAAAGTGTAAACAGATTTGCATTGATACCCTACTCTGATATTTTTGATACAGCAACTCTTCAAAAATGAATTCTAAATTGACGACTCCACAGAATGTGTTGCCCCTTCTGCCTCAGAGGAAGATACTCCTGGCAAAGAGAGACGCAGAAATGGCAACTGTTGAAAGTGGTGTGTTTACTCGCTAAGATGACTATTTACAAATACCAACCAGACCATGTCACCCTCTTGTACACCACCTTCCAAAAGAGTCACATTGCACTTAGAATAAATGCCAAGCTCCTTCCCACAGTGTACTAGACCTTTTCTGATCTGGCCCTGGTAGACTTTTCCCATTTCATCTTTAACCACCACTGCCCCCCTTTGATCACAGAGCAAATCATATTTTCCCCCTCAGAGCCTTTGCTTTTACTATTCCTCTGCCTGGACCATTTAACTTCCAAATCTATGCATGACTATCCCCTTCTCACCATTCAGGCTTTAGCTCAAATGTTACCATAGCAAAGAAGCCTTCCCTGACCACCAAACTATTGCTAATCCACTCCAGGCCCTTCTATCCCATTACCTTACTTCATTTTCTTCAGAGCACCAATCTTGTGTGAAATTCTTATCTCTTCCCCTGTCTTCTCCGTGAGAGCAAGGATCTTATCACTCTCTTCCACTGCCATAGTCCCAGTCATTGGGAGACCACCTAGCACATAGTAAGCACTCAATACATTTTTCTGTGGATCAAGTGAATGTTAAATGACTGTACTTGCTTGGAATGAGTCAATGGTGTCACCTGTTTGCCAAGTTCTAACAGTTGTAGCTTGAATATGGCATGAGAAGTCAGCACACAAGCACTCACAGTCCCAGAAGCCATCCCTTTCTGGACCTAAAGTATACATACCAGTAATGGTCAAATATTTTATCTTGTACCATTTAGTTAGGAAGGGTGTGGGAGGGAGAGTACACTAGAGTTAATTCTGAACTATGGTACAAAAAAACCCCATTAATTTGATAGGGGAAACTACCACTATTGCCATTTTACACACTAAGAAGCAGCAGGTATCATAGAACAAGCGTGAGTTTCAAAGTTAGGCAGACTCAGGTTCATACTCCAGCTCTTCCACCTTGGTTATTGACTAAATTGTGCTCCTCCAACAAGTCCTAAACTGTAATGGAATTTAAGTCAAGGTCTTTAAGGAGGTAATTAAGGTCAAATAAGACCTATAGAGTGGAACCCTCATCCTATAGGACTGGTGTCCTTAAAAGAAGAGGAAGAGACACCAGATCTCTCTTTCAGTATCTCTCTGTCTCTCTGTCTCTTGTTTTATGCAGAGCTTCACAGAAGGTGGTTAAAAGTCATTGTAGAACGACTGTATTCCCCTGCCCATGGGATCACCTGCTGTCAGCCCATGAATCACCTGTTCACATCCACTAATCACTGAAGATATCTGTCAGTACAAAGCCAATTGAACCACCAATTAAAAAGTCAAAATGGCTCATCAGCCCCATACAGGACATACAATTTAGTGGTAAGACTAAATCCACTATCAAATAAACAAATAAATAGGAGGAAGGCTTTTCAATTCTGACCAGTTGATTTGTCTTTACAGACACAACATGTATCAATTTGAACTACTCAAGAAACTGAATGTTATCTTGTAATAAATATTCAGTAATTATCTGAATACCAAATAGTGTGATTTATTTTTAAGTAAATGTGGTTCCCTTAGGTAACTGGTATCATGTTTCTAGGCCTCAAGGTCCTCAAATGAAAAAGGGAAAGTTGGTGTACATTGTTATTAAGGCCTTTCCAGCTCTCAGAGTCCAGCAAGCGTCCTCTCCCCTACCTCACCCCTGCTGCCCCCACCTTGTGATCAGTTGCACACGTGGGTCTAACCTAGAGTTAGCAGTACAGTCTGGATCAGCGAAATCAGATGAAGTTTATGTCTACAAAACATCCCCAGTACTTTAGTCTCTCAGAAAGACAACCTGTTTAAAACTACGAATTGGAGGGGAATATTAGCATATAACTCCGGGGCTTGTGTTCAATCACTGGGGGAGAATGTAAACTGACAGTGCTAATAACATATTTTTCATGGCTCAGATCATCATCATTGCACCAGAAAACCTGTTTTGATATAACGTAGCCTACCCCTATGTGAGCTAAATTCCAAGTGCTATTCAAGATTTTCATTGTGTCTGTCCCAGCAGAGCATGCAAAGAGCCTTAGTGCCTGGGAAAGGCTTACAGAGGCTTTATGGGTGCTTAAGTCTGGATCCTGAGTGCATGACAAAAGAGAGGGCTGGATTTGCTGTGCGTGTTCACTAAAATACCCAGAAGGATATGTTTATCTCTTTTTGAAAAAGGAGGGTGTTAACTGGGTATTTTATTTTTTCCTGAAAGGTCTGAACTTGCATATGAAGGATTCGGTCAGATAGCCAAAAGGATTTGTGTCCTTTTGATAAAACAGAGAATTGTGTCCTGTGCCCTGCAGAAGCCTCCACAGTATTCTCTTGACGCGATTTCCAGTCAAGAGTCTGACAACAGGAAAAAGCACATTTGCGTCCCTAACACTTTCCTGTTGTTGAAAAGCTTCCAACATCATGTCCAAAACAGTTCCTCATATTTATTTTTATACTTTTCTTCCTTTAATTTTTAATTAACAAATAAAAATATACATATTTATGGTATACATGATGTTTTGAAAATGTGTACATTGTGGAATGGGTAAATTGAACTAATTAACATGTGCATGATCACACATATCTATTATTTGGGGGGTGGCAAAACATTTAAAATCTACTCTCCCAGCAATTTTTAAGTATATAATATATTATCATTTACTATAGTCACCATGACATACAATAGATTTCTTGAAATTATTCCTCCTATCTAACTGAAATTTTATGTCCTTTGACCAATATCTCCCCAATCTCCCTTGCGTACTTTTTCTTAAATCACTTTGATGTGAATATGTTTTTCTATTCATCTTACCACAAATAAAACCATTTTATATCACAATAATTGAAATATCATTTCACTTTAATACTGTAATCTTTGTTTATGTGTTTGTAATGTATATGTATATTTTAAAGGTTGTTAACTACAAA